GACTATCTGCTTAAGGGGAGGGATGCTCAGGGTGGAGGACTTTCTCAGGGAGACTGACTTGTATACATATTACACATGGAGAAAACCATGGATACAGCCATGCAGCCAACACATTCACCTGGAATCGAACCCAGGTCAGAACTGCCAGTATTCTTTGACTTTACCGCTCAGCCACTAGTGAGCTCTAAAACTTCTTGAGTCTTTTGTCTTGGTAAGTTTTTATGTCGATTTTCTCTGTGGTGTAGGGCTGTGATTCAGAAGAAAATCAGGAATTTGATAAGATACACTGCTGGCCATTAAAATTGCAACACCATGAAGTAAAGGAAATGCAAAAAAGCTATTTATTGCACGTAAATAGTATGGCATGAAGACAACTTGATTAAATTTGTAAGCATTTTGGTGGTCTACAGGGGTGCAAAATTAGTAGAAACAGCTGCTACCCCTGGCAGCTAAAACGGCCCTTACGCCATTAGCCATAAAATCAAACTGGAAATGGATGACAGAAATGGGCAACTCATTCCATGCTACTTCAAGTCCATGCCACACTTCATCAACCCTACTAACTGGAGAGGGGTGGTGGGCTAGTCTCTCAGCGACCCATAACCAGATGTTTTCAGTGTGTGACAGATCTGGAAACCGTGCATGCCAGGGCGGTGATCAAATGCTGTGTGTCTCTATGAAGATCAGAACATGTGGTGTTGCATTAGTTTGTTGGGACGTGGCGTTTAGGAGTGTTGAAGATAAGGCACAACCATTGGACGTAACATGTCAGAAATGTACCCATCTGCGTTCAAATTACCGTCGATCCGAACTAGAGACGTGCATGTCATGTACCCAATAGCTGCCCAAACCATCACAAAAGGTGCAGGGCCCCCTATGCCGATATCAAATGCAAGCAGGCTACATGCGTTCTCAGACACTCCACACACGTCCATCGAAATATGCACTTAGAACCAGGATTCGTTTGAAAAGGCGACATTGTGCCACTCCTGTACCCAGCTTTGTCATCTGGCGCATCAGAGTTGCTGTCTTTCTCTTTGCTGCATTGTCAAGGGAAGCCGAAGTAATGGTCACCCTGTTGATAGTCCATGCTGCTGCAAACATTGACGCACCTTGTGAGCTTATACTGGGCGTGCTGCAAGCATGCCCATTTCCTGACTAATGCTCCGTGATGTGGTCGTACGGTTTTGCAGAGCTGACCTCATAATATGTCTGTCTTCTCTGGCGTTAGTCACGGGAGAACGTTGAGATCCTGCATGCCGTTCAATATGACCCTCAACAACCCATTGATTCCATATTCTCATGACAGTGGTTGGATGTCGACCAGTACGACCAGCGTTATCACGGAATGATAATCTACACTTTCGATTGGCAAAGTTCCTGCCTCTATTGAATTTCAGAACTTCGTAGTAAGCATTTCCTCTTCTTATTCGAGGCATAGCACGATATTATGAGCAAACTCCAACCTTACAAAGCATTTTCCAAATGAGAAATCCACTGTGCAATTTTTCTTTTATTCAGTGATACAGATGTCGTTTCTCTCTCCTGTGTCGTCTAAATGTTCTGAAATAATAGGGGGTCCGGAAAGTAATGTCATTTCTGCGCATGTCGACAACAACATGCTAATGGCAGAAGGGGCAGCAAATCCATGCCAAACACTCTTAACCAACCTTGGTTGACCATCCAAGAACATTTAAAGCAGAATGAAAAAATAAGCAAAGCAGGTGTTTGAGTCCTCTATCATCTGTCTGAAAAGAACAAAGTCAACCTATCCATCACGTGCAACGTATTGCTTCAACGACACCATACAGAACCATTTTTTGATCGTTTGATTAGTGGAAAAAAAAAATAAGTCCTATATGATAATCCAAAACTCAAAAGGCAGTTTTAATAGGGGTTACAAAGGGTTTACATCCCGAAAAGTCGCTTCTGGGTGTTTGAATGGAGTATTCGCGGAAAAGTTCATTTTTAAATTGTTGAAACCTAGAAAAACTATTAATGCAGACCTTTATTGTGAACAACTGCATCTAGTGAACCAATCTTTAATCGAAAAATATCTGGCGATTGGTCAACGGAAAAGGCGTCAATTCTGCAACACTACAATGCAAGACCACACTATGCAAGACGAACACTGGAAAAATATAATGAAATTGGGGTGGGAGGTACTGCCTCACCCACCATATTCGCCCGATATCACACCCTCAGATTTTCATTTATTCCGATCCCTACAACATTTTTTTAGTGACAAAAAATTTTAAAATTTGGATGATGTTCAAAATGCCATCTTGAGATATTTTACTCAAAAACCAATAGATTTTTATCAGTCTGGGATTGAAATTGGCATACTAGATGGCAAAATGTTGCTGATAACAAGGGTGATTATATTATTGATTAAAAATAAAAACTTCTTACAAATTTATTCATTTGAATTTAATGTAAGAAAACAACATTACTTTCCGGTCCCCCTATTATTAATTATTTGCATATGCCAACCTCTTCTTCCTTTCATGTGACTTTGACGTTCGTCAGATCATTCCTTTCTGGTGTTGCAGTTTTAATGGCCTGCAGTGCATATAGTGTCATTTTATAACGTTACTGATAGAGTTCAGATTTTTATATAATTTTTTTTTCTTAAATCTGCAATGGCTAGGCAAAAAGTTACAAAGAACTAAAATCTTATAAACAGAGGTTACAAACACTAGAACTGAGAACAAAAAGATTGAAGTCATTGCCTAAGGAGCTCTCAAGCCTCCCAGTATCTCGACTCCTCTGTAAGACCACAAAAGGACTTGCATCAGAGCAGGTGGTTCTGGCCCATTTCTTCTCCAGAATTACAAAATGGGCAAATATGATTACTTGAAATGCCTATGGGGTGCAGGTGGGTGGCAAGGCAATCATGTTCTGTAGACAGAAAGCCGCAACTACATTGCATCTTGGACTATTGGGAATAAGAGAAGAACTTATCATTCTCGAACTTTTTAAGGCTGTATGGGCCTGAAGGTCTCATAAGATATTAGACGTAAATAAACTTTTGTAAAACAGTTTAATCCTCCAATAAGAAATGGCTGCATTAGGATGTTGTTGTAAGGTGGCACCTCTTTTTGCAAGGAAGTCTGCTTGTTCGTTGCTGCAAAGGCCACAATGACCAGACACCCACTGGAAGACAATTTGTTTCCCCTTTAAAGTGAGAGTTCTCAGGAATTCTTAACATTGCAAAATTTCAGGTGTTACTGGGTGTTCAATAGAGCTAGTTAATTGAATGTCTGCATGACCATTAAAAAAAAAAAAAAAAAAAAAAAAAAAAAAAAAAAGACTCTTTTCAAACTTAAAGAATGAATAGCTAATAACTGCTTTAGAGCTATACAGATGGCTACTACTTCACCATCAAAGGTGGTACCAATGTATCCTGCAGGGGAGTAAAAAGAAAAGAGATTTGAAAACATACCAGCCCCAACTTTAAAATAACAAACTGAGAACCATCAGTTAAAATGTGCAGCCACTGAGTAGGTGGGTATCTAGCTACAATGGTCTCCAAAGTGAGACATTTCAAAACACTTGGCTCAACATCTCTTCTTTTCTATGGATGGTTTTTACTAGTTGTAGTCTTACTTTGACATTAATCACCTCCAAAGGGCTTCTGGTTGTCAAGTGTGGTTACATATTACCTGGAATCTTAAGATGTTTTGGACCAGATCCATGATTTTTTGAATAAATCCATATTGGTTTTTTAATTTACTAGGTTTGGCTATGTAGTCCCTCAAGTAGAGATCCTCCATCCGCAGTAGCTTTACATAGAGAACCAAGGCCCTCATTTTCATAATATCCTGGAAGCGTTTATTTTCTGTCAACAATAACATCTCATTGATAGGTGTGGATTTCACAGCTCCTGTAATCAAGTGAATCACTTGGTTTTGCATCACTTCCAAGTTTATTAACCACTGATTGTGGGGCAGTGGTGAGAGCTTCACAGCAATATGACATTAAAGGCAGGGTATAAGTATTAAATGTAATGTTAAGAGTGGACCATGTCCTGTTAGATACTTAAGAATACTAAATCTATTTGAAGCATGTTTGGTAAGCTGCTCAACATGAAGCTTCCAACTTTAGTTCTTATCAAAAGTCATTCCCAGATAAGTAAATTTGTTTGTGTTAGTAATCAAAGTTATCTTGGTACTTTAGCTCTGGGCAAAAAATTTCATGGATTAGAGGAAAAGACTGTGAAGCTGTCTTTTTCAGAATTACAGACATATTATTTTCTTCACACCAATTTGAGAGCACCTGCTGGACCTTATTTAAGCAGCTTTCACTAAGGTTTTTGCACCATGTTTTAGAGCCTTGGTCCTAATTACCAAATCATCATCAAATAGCAGACAATTTTTATATAATGTGTAACATGAAATATTTTCAAAAAAAATATTAATAAAATAATGTACTGATTCTACCTGAATTTCTGTATTAAGGAACTAGTTTGATGGTTTAGATAATTTTTCAACACTGGCTACCAGCAACATAAATCAAAGACCTGGCAGAAAATTTAGGAAGAAGCTGTAAAACAGGATTATTTATCATTAGATTGTATTGTTTTTATTGTGTGTTAATATAGCATTCACTTATAAATTTGTAGCTGGCTCCTTGAAAATATTTGTCAACTATAGGTTGAAACTTCCTTTACATAACTAATGTAAGGAATAATGAGTATTTCAATAGCTTTAATTTTTGTTGTACGTGCACCATATAAAAATTAAATTTTACTTATGCAAAACCCTTTTACTCATAGTGTTGGAAATGTTTTCATAAAATTCTCTTAAAATTGTGCTTAAGAAATGTTAGAACTTTGAATTATAGGTCTAGGATAATTTTAGCCAGTTGTAGATGACTCCAATTGGTTAATATTGGTTCATTGCCTTCATCTTGTATGTAAATGAAAACTGTATTTAATATATTTAATTATTGATCATATTAATTTTGTGTAATGTGCTTTTTTTTAATTAATTTTACAGTTTTATCAAAGGCTCAGCGTAGTCTAGCCACAACTTTGATGAATTTTAAATTTGATTGCATTGGTTCCAGTCAAACTGATGATGAAATACTCATTGGTAAGTTTTGATATATAATATTAAAATACATTATATTTTTTAAGGCTGTACCTAGCTTGTTCTGTTTCTAAATAATATGATGTAATTAGGTAGACTGAGCATCAGATGATCCATTATATGAACTAATCTGGGTATTATTCCTCAGAAAAGATTTTGTGTTGGTAATTTGAAGATGTTCCTTGTTTGGTTGAAGAAATAATTTCCAACCAAATGAAGGGGAAGAAGGGCATTTGAACTATTTTCTCTTTCTTGTAAACAATTGTTGTTTGGAGTACAGTAGAACTTGGTAGAGTTAAAAGTATATTTCAATTTATCATTGAAGTTTTGTCCAATTCTTAGTTTTAGGATATTTCTCACAGTAGCTTTTGTCATTGTTCATTTCTTACATATTTTGGTTAAAGTAGAGTTACACATAATTAACCTTATGGAAGCAGGTCATGCCTCTGTAGTTGATGCTGTGTGGTGACAATTATTAGTATCTCATATGTGATGATGTTAATTAAATCCTTTTTGGTATTACCAAAAAGATGTCTGAATGAAAAAATATTTTCACCCATCTCTGTGGATATTTATGCCATTTGGTATAAGCATAAATGTAGTGACTTAATCCACTTGTCTGACAGTAGCATCAGGTCAAATTTGTGAATTAATATAAGGTGAATAGGCAAGGTTTGCAGCCGTTGTTGGTTGAGGCCTATGCATCTTTTAGGTAACACTACAAATCTATGCTGTTTTGAGGGAAAATTCCCCTAGGGATCAGATCCAAATCTTCTGTCTTGCTGGCCTTTTCAGAAACCTCTTGGCTGTATTTTAAGTATCCCCATGCCACAGAAACAGAATACACTTACAAAAGCATCTATTTCTTCTCCTGGATAACCTAGACTCAAGGTTATCACAGTCAGCTGTCCTGCCACTATGTGAATAGGACAACATTTGTAAGCATGTTGTTGCAGTATTCATTAACCCTTAAGGAATGTTGAACTCCCAGGTACAACTTGCTCAGTAAAACTTTGTGAACACAAGGAAGGTACAGATTTTAATTATGAATATTCTTCTCATTTGCTTAAAAAATAGTTTGGCTTTCTTCTTTGGTGACATTTTTATATTGCTGTTGTTTCACTGCTAGTCATTAAAAAGATGAAGTGCCAAAATGAATGTGCACTGAATGTTAGTAAAAGCAAAATTGCTTCTTTCTGTTTATGCATACTCGCACTGAAAAATTGAAGTATTTGTGAGGCAAAGCAGTCTATCACCAAAATAGTTTGTGACAGCCCATAATGTGACCAAAAAATATTTGTAAAGCAACCCCAGGTGTTATGCTTAGTACATAGTGTGTTGCCTGATGTGTAATGCTAGGTTTGTGCAAAAAAAAAAAAAGTTTCATTACTGATGTTTCTTACTTCTTAAATTTCATTGATTTATTGTTCTTGTATGATATTCTTAGTGGGCCACCATTTTGAAAATTGTTATTGACTTTTGTACTTTAGTGTGGTGAAAAAATTGTCACCGATTAGTTCTTAAATGCTCTTGAATAAGTTGGGTGGGAGTCTGGATAATCAAAGTCAGTAAGTCAGCAATGAGTTCAGTGGGAGTGTGGATAATCAGACACCACCACAAAATCTATATCAGAAGATGCAAGAAACATCAATTATGATTATTATATAATGAATTAGGTATTTTATTACTATGAGTGTATAATTCTATATCACAGTTTAATGTGCACTAAATTTTGAATATTAATATTAGATGATATCTAAACGTATTTTAAATAATTAGGCTTTGCACTGTAACAAAAAATAGAGAGGAGTTATAAGGTCAATATAGAGGTCAGGATTTGAAAAAAGTTAACTCAGATGTGGAGATTTGGGAATTAGGTTTGAAAGACTAATGGTAATGAAAGTTTAGGAAAATTGGCCAAAATGTGGCATTTAAATACATCTAAATGTTATATGAATGAATAAATGCATGTGAATCGCCTGGCAGCTTAACTTTACTCAGCATTTGCTAAATTGTCTGAAGGTGTGAGGCGGGCTCTTAGCGACAAGAATATAAGGGCTGAAAAGCATTTTATTATTTGTATTAACTCTACTTGAAATTTCTTCAAGAGTTTGCTTGCTTTTATGATATCCAAGCCTGAATTGTCATTTTTATAATACAGTCAAAAGTCGTTAATCCGGACTCGTCGGGACTTCGGCGATTCCGGATTATCGATTTTTTCGGATTATAGATCATCAGTTTAAATCTCGTAAGATGGCATGCACAAATTCTAAAATTAAAAATATAACCGTATTTTAGGAAATAAAGAACAATTATGATCTAAAGGGTATCAAAATTTACAAAAAAAAAGAAGCATAATATTTATTTGTTACTTTATTAAACATTTTTTCAATGTAAGTTGTTTCATTTTATGTGATAATACTTTCTCTTTAATTCTATAAACAGACATAATTTCTTGTTCAGTTAAAAAGCTCCGCTGTTCAAGTCCCGTAATTGCTGTGCCGAGAATACCGACTAACTTGTCAATCGAAATTTTTTCTTTTCACTAACCTCTCAGTCACCTTCTTCATGTCTTTATCCATTTTTTGCAGCAATTCCACTTTTTGTTTGACGGACATCGAGACATACTTTCGTTTTGTAGATCCTTTGGTAGCTCCAGAATCGGAAATTGACATAATCGAAAGTTAAAGTTTGCTTTTATAAAATTGCTCTTACAAGTTTACTTTTATAAAATTTACGCGCACACGCATATGCGCTTGCGCGTAAAGGTCTTATGCGCACGCGTAAACGCCTATGCGCATGTGTCAACGCGGCGCATGCGCAGAAAGTTTTTAGCTTTGAGGTCCGGATTATAGATCATTCCGGATTATGGGTGTCCGAATTAACGACTTTTGACTGTAGATCCTTTTTTTCGGGGGGGGATATCTTGCATATTCATGTGTTAGCAAAGGTTATTAGTAATTCAATGAATTCATCTGTGGGTCAGTTTTGTTTATCTCTCTAATCTGTTGCAAAAATCTGATAATCTAACATCCAGTGATTTGCATTCCTGCTAATCCATCAGTGTTTCATAAGTTCAACCCCTGCACTAGGTTCTTGCAGGATTCCCACCGCTAGACCTATTTCAGAAAGTCATTAATTTTGAGAGCCTACTTTGCTAGGGATTATGAAAAATACAGGCCGGACTTATTAGGTCACCCTGCGGATATAGATTGGAATGCTAATATCTTTCTTAAGTACTTGGTTTCATGTATGGCGGCACTCTCAATGTACACAGATGGATCCAAGACTGCAAAAGGTACAAGAAGTGCCTTCTGTGCTATAGAGGATGGACTGATCTTGCATGAGTGGAGAAGACGACTGAATGAATCCAACTCAGTGTATCAGGCTGAATTAGTGATACTAAAGACGGCCTTAGTATATGTGAGAAATAAGTCAAGCAGGAAAATAGCCATTTTTAGTGACTCTGCCTCCAGCCTAGAGGACAAAATAGGACATAAACATCGGAGTCGACAAGTACAGGAAATTCACTGTCTGCTCCTTCAGCAGCTACAAGCAATCCGTTCCAGTTTTCATTGGGTCCCAGCACATGTTGCGATCAAAGGCAATGAAGAAGCAACCAGGGCAGTGAAGTCAGCAGCAAATGATGTGGGCCTACTTGAACATCCAGTGAAACTTCCCATCAAGTGGATGACCCGGATGACTATAATCTCTTCTCTTGCCCTAGCCATTACTCATCTTCATAAAAACAAACTAAGTCAATGATTTTGGTCCTAATGAGCAGAAAATTTGATTAAAAACAACATTAGCCAGAGTAAAGCTGAGAAACTTCTTATGTACTGTGCAACAAAAAATACTCGGTTTTAAGTGGGCACAACAGGGCAACACCTAGCACTTGGCATCTTGCTCGATCAGAAATTAACCAAGTAGTTAGGCACACCTTTCTCGCAGAACATCATAAGTCTGTATGATTTGTAAGACTATGGTAATGACACTCTGCGAAACAGAAGCACAGCAGTAAGCCTCATTTACGCGAAGTGTCATTAGTGGTATAACTACCTGCTTCAATTGTACCTGCATACGTTTTTTTCCTTCTTTCAATTGTAATTGCATTTATATACACTCTGCATCTATTTATAACCCTTGTTTCGTTTTTATGCTCATTGTTACAACGGAATTCAGTCTTCTTATCAGTTGTATTATAATTATTACCTTGTTCAATTCTATCATCATAATTTCTTCATTCAAAAGAGCAAGTAATATTAATAGCACCTTCAATGCATTGTTCAATAGTGTTTTGTGAAGTTAGTCTGAAAGTGGTATAATATATGATAAGTATTCTAAATGTTAAATCATATTTCTGTAATGCAGTCTCTTGTATCTTAGATTGTAATACTTGTTAAGTCCTATAACTTACAGCCAGTAATCTCTATCTGAACACAGGACCATCAGTGATCTCACGTAGTCAGTGATGTTTGACTGTGTAGCCTGTTAAGGGCTTACACATCGCTGTAAATAGCCTTGTGAATTTATTTTTCAGTTCTGCCTGCCCTCCTGTGGAGGGGGTGCTGCAGCATTAGATTGCTTCTGCAAGGAGGACAATAATGCTGTGAGGAAAATTTTATATCGATAGGGTCAGCAGTACTCATCTGCATTATAAAAGTATTTCATATGTGTGCTGTCTGTGAGTGTTAATGAACTTGTCTGTTTTATAAATCTGATGAAAATAAAGTTATTATTGTACTTTGAAATCTCATCAGACAGTGCAAAAGTAAAAGTGTTATATGCTATGTTTTCATTAATACAATGCATGCACAGTTTTTCAGTCACTGAATGAATTGACATTTGTGATCAAATGGGCATGCAGTATGTGACAGATTGTAAAATAATTAATATCAATATTTAAACTTCACTACTTCACCAATGATTTTCAGCTTATGTTTTTGTTTGACTTTTTCCTTATTATTATGGTAATGTTGGTTGCTGGTTTTTAATAATAATGG